AATATTTACTGTTAAATTAAGAAATTAACTAATGTATAATACTAAAATTTGAATAATAATCTACAATGTGATACCAAACTTACTGACATATTTTCATAAAATAGTAGTTCAATAAAATTTTAAACGCGAGTCTACAAATGTGATAACATGTTCTTTGACTCCTGACCATAGCGATAGGGTTAAAGTATAAATTTAAACAATGTAATGTAAAATGATCCAAAACTAACTATGTCAACATCATTCCACAAAATATTAAAAATATAATCCAATTCTATTTACCTTCCTCTCCCAGAAAAGTGATCTCAAAGTTTTTGCACCAGTCTGCTAGGCTAAAACTCTTAGTTGTTTTCATGGACTAAACAGAAATTAAGTGCTTTAATGTAGTTTAATGTTAGACTTTTTAAACATCATTCACACAATATTTATAAAAAATAATGAAGTATAATTTCACGTGATGTAAAGTTACATAATTTGAAAATGTACAAAAACCTAAAATACATTAGCTTAAACTTTGTAAAATATCTATGTAGGTTATAAAACTTGTTATAACATCATGTATAAAAACAATACTTTCAGATAATCATTTAAGATGAACAAACAATGTGAAATGGGCAGAAGTCAGGTCTGGAAATCAACAGTTCATTGCTACCATTGGTCCAACCATCATTCATTCCACAAACCACGTTAGAAGAACCAATGGCCAATCACATCCCATTTACTTCATTCTTCTCAGATATCACATAAAGTTGTGAAAAAATTGGTAAAAGCTGACCTAAAGACAGATATCATATTGTCTTCCTACCCGAGCTGTTTTTGTAGATTAGTTCTCAAATGTCACCCTGAACTAAGGAGTTACCACCCATTTCAACTTTGTTTGTCATGAAATACTCTGCCTATATTATCTGTGAGATAACCTTATACGATAATTGAGACACATTTTAAATCACACTATTCTTACAAATACAGTGAAACCTCATTAATGCGAACACACTTGTAATGAAGTACTTTTAGATTATCAAGACATCTGGATAGTCATATCAGTCACTTTGAATACAATGGGCACTATTAATAGCATGTGTTATCAGTCAATAGCAGTAAGGAAATGCTGGTAACTGGTAAACGAAAAGAAACCATATGCAAAACATGTCATTAAATCACCTTTTTGTTCAAACCAATGACTTACTTATAGAATACAAAATACACATCATTGCTTTTGAACTGTTTTAAGCTTATCAGTAGCTTTAAGCAAATAATCCATTTGGACCACTGTAACTTCACGTGACTATAATATAAATCACTTTGATAACCTCTTGATATCTGTTACGGTTTATATCAAGGTGGTCTAACCACAGGCTCGTGGGCCAAATGTGACCCCCAAGATCATTTTTATGGACCACAGGCCCCTAGAAAAAAAAAGTTTTTTTTTTTTAGTTGTTGGGGAAGTTATCTTTAGAAAGATGAGAAATGTTTTTGCTTTAGTGACAATTGCAGAAAAGGCAAACAGTACTTTAAACAGCATGTCAGTATAATATTAATAAGTCCTGTATAACCATTCTAAATTCTTGGAATAATTTATTGCTGGATTATACAAAACCTATTCCCTCTACCAGTCTCAATGTTAACCTTAGTCTTTGCACTTCACAAAGAAGTGATATTGTATATTTTATCATATTGCTCATAGCACATGCAATGCAAACTGTGACTGGTTGGTTGTAATTATATGATCTTATTAAAAAATAGTGTGTGTAGCCCACAAAACTAGGTTAAGATGATTCTTTTGGCCCTGAACATTTGAGTAGATGGATCACCCTGGTTCATATGTACATCCATATTGTAAAGGTTCTAAACTTATACTCACTGTAAGCGTAGATGTTTTATGGTCAATAATATCACTTTGTTTGATGATCTGATCAACCTCTA